TTTTTTTTTCATCTTTTTAAATCATTTAATTTTTAATTTAAAGAGAATAAAGAATTTATTATGGTAATTGTTTTCTTTCTTCTTCTTTCATTTGGATTTTCTCAACAATGTTTAGAGGCACAAGAAATTATATTAACGTCTTCAAATACTAAAATACTCATTAATAATAAATTAATGAAAGTTTCAACACCATCATATACTGGATGTAATGATTTTAAACAACATCATACAAGATGGTTTAAAATCAAAAATTATGAAAATGTTCCTCTTCTTGTAAATATTTCATATTCTCCAATTACTCATCTCCATGTTGTTGATTCATGTTTATTTCAAAATTGTTTATTAAATTCTTTCCAAAAAACATCTTCAATTATTCTTGAAAGTGAATCATCTGTTTATCTTGCTTTCTTTACTTCAACTCCTCCACTTCAATCAACTCTTCAAATTGATTCATCAAAATTAGATAAAATTAAAATTATTCAACCAAATGAAAATCAAATGAAACACACAACATCTCATATTAAAATTACATCTATACCTACTTCTGTTTTTTGTGGAAATGAATGTAAAATTTCAATACCTTCTCAATCTAAAACAATTAAAATAGGAAATTGTAATAATCAAATTAAACATATTTCATCAATATGTGAAGATGGAATTAATCCTCTTCAATTCTCATTTTGTTCAAATGGATATATTACATCTTTATTAAATAAAAATTCAGGAAAATGTATTTTATCACTTAGTCTTGATAAAGAAACATCTATTTCTTTAAAACCATATAAAGAAAAAACAAAAATACGATTGAATAATAATCATTATGAAGAAACTATTGATCTTCCAAAAATTGGTGGAAAAAGATTAAGAAATTATGAAATTAATCTTCCTAAAGGAAAGGTATTATCAATAAATACTGTTAATCAAAATGGTCAAATAATTAAACCTTTCTTATCAAATACAAAATCTTCTAGTTTTCATTGTAATAGTAATGGTGTTTGTTCTCTTTTTAAAAAAGCTTCAAAAAATGAAAAAGTTAATATTGGAATTGGTTTGCTTCATTTATCTAATTTAACTAAAATTGTAATTCATCTTGGTGATACTCCAATTAAAATATCTCATTCTATTCCTTTTACTACTACTCAACCTCAACTTAATTTTATTCCTCATCAACCTCCTCAAAATACTCCTCAAATAATTGATGAATATAAAGAAGGTGGTTCAAAACAATATGTTTTTATTTCAATTGGTATGGTTTTTTTCATATTAGTTATTGGATTTATTTTCATTATGTTTCGTCCAAATTCATTATTTAGATTATTCAATTAATTTAAATGATTTTTTTCAAACCAATCTTTATTTAATATAATAACTCTTCAAATATACTAATATAATATTATTAAATGAAATAACCAATATTCAATTATAGTAAATAAGAAATTGAGAAAGTAGAATAATACTTAATAATTGGTTTATCTAAATACCTTTGTACCTTTTTTTTTAATAGAATCAAATAAAAAAAAAATAGAATAAAAGAAGAAATGAAGATATTTTAATGTTTCATAATTCTTTTGAAAGAAGAAATAACATCTCTTGGAAGATTTTTTAAATTATCAATATTTTCAATAGTATGAAGAGAATAACAATTTTGAATTTGAAGTTTAGAAATAGTAGAAGGAGGTGATAATGATTCAATACAATCACAATTACTAATAAAACATTCTTGAATTAATGAAGTATCAAGATGATTAAAAGTTTCTAAATTATCACAACCATTAACCGATATAAATTGTAATGAAGTTGGAACATCAATATATTGGAGATGATTACAATTTGTACAATCAATTTTAGTTAATGAAGTTGAGTTATTAATATTTAATGAAAGTAAATCATTACAATTATCAATACGAATAGATTGTAAAGTAAATGGAAAAGTAATATTAGATAATACTAAACAATTCTTTAATAATAATTGTTTTAAAGAATAATCATGACAAGAAAGAGAAGTTAATGAAGAACAATCATTAATTTCAAGGTCTTCAAGACATGAACCAAAAGAAATAGATTGTAAATTAATACATGAATTTACAATAACATGTTTAACATTAATTTGATTAAAAGAATCTAAATGAACACATTTCCATTCTTTAAGTTCAATTTTATTATTTTTAATTGAATCATTTAATATATTTTGTGTTAAAATAGGACTATTTAAAGTTAAACTAATTTCCAATAATAATGAAGGACGAATAGATAATTCATGAAGATGTTTAAGTTCTATTAAATTTGAACATTCAATAATAGATAAATCAGTTAAATGAGTTGAAAGTGAAAGAGTTTTTAAAGAAGGACAACGAATTATTTCTAAAACATTTAAGAAATTTAACATTTCAATAGAAGATAATTCTAATACTTTACAATTATCTAATCTTAATTTAGTTAATATAGTTGGAAGTTCTAATGTTTTAAGATTTTCCATCATAAATAATGATAATTCTTTAAGTTGAAGAGAAGTTATTGAATTTAAAGTACGAATATTAAAACAATTACTTAATTCAAGTTTAGTAAGATGAGAAGAGAATTTAAAACTTTTAATTTGTTTTAATCCTGAAAGTTTTAAAGATTCTAATGTAAGTTTTTGTAAATTATCTAAAGAAGTTAATCTCTTAAAAGAATCTAATACTAATTTAGTAATAGTAGTAGGTAATGTTAATGATTTAACTTTTTTACAAGAAAATAAATGAATTTCTTTAATAGGAGCATCAGATAAATTAAAAAGAGAAGATAAAGAAGGACATTCTTTTAATTCTAATTTTGTTAAAGTAGAAGGGATTGTAATTGATTTAATATTTTCCATAGATTCTAAATATAAATATTTCATTGAAATTTTTTTAATATTTGGAAGAGTAATATTCATATTATCATACATAACTAATTTTGAAATAGTTGATGGTAATTTAATTGATTTTAATGAAGAACAATAACAAATTTTAAGTATTTGAATATTTAATTTTTGTAGATTAAAAATTTTAGAAATTGATTTACATCCACTAATTTCTAGAAAAGAAATAGTAGAAGGACAACTTAATGAAGTTAAAAATGAACAATTAAGTATTTGAAGATCTTGAAGAGGAATATTTATTAAATTTGGTAAAGAAATACATTCCCAAGCTTCAATAATAATTCCAGTAAGAGAAGTTGGAATAAATGGATGTTTAAGATTGTAATAGAAAGGTAATAAATTTTTAAAAGGAATATTTAATTCATGTAAATTAGGTAATGTTAATAAATTTTTACATTTAGAAATATTTAAATATTCTAAAGAAAGTGGAAAACGAATAATTTCTAAACTAGGACATTGAGTTAATTCTATATTTTTTAATACTGTCATTTCTTCTAAATTAGGAAATTCAATAACATGTTGACAATCATTTATTATCATTTTTGTTAATGTTGTTGGAAAACTTAAACAAGTTAATGCATCACATGCTGTAATATCCATCATTTTTAATGGTAAATCCATTAAATTAGGATAAAAAGTAAGTGAATGACATCCATGAAGAATAAGTGAAGTTAAATTAGGTGGAAATGATAACATTTCAAGATATTTAGCATCTGATATTCTAAGATCTTTCAATTGATAAAGTTCAGTAAGATTAGTTAATGTAGTAGTTTGAGTTGAACTATAATTTTGAAGATTTAAATAAGTAAGAGAAGATGGAAATAATAAATTATCAACATTAAATGGTCCAATAGTTTCAAATGATAATAATTTTAATTCTGTAAAATTTCTAAGTTCAATTAATTTTTCACAATTACTAATTTGAATTAAAGTTAATAATGAAGGAAGACATAATGTTGTAAGAGAAGTACAATATTTTAAATATAAATCTTTAACAGATGCATTTTCTAAATTTAAAAGATGAGTAATTGATAAACAATCATTAAGTTGAAGATATGTAAGAGTAGATGGAATATCTAATTTAACTATTTTAGAACAACTTATTATTTTTAAATTTTGTAATTTTGCTTTATTTAAATTTTCTAATGAAGTTAATAAAATACATTTATCAATAGATAATTCTATTAATGATGTTGGAATATTTAATGTATAAAATGAATTACATGATATTAATTCTAATTTTTGAATATAACATTCATTTAATTCTGGAATACTAATTGAATCTGTATTAATCATTCCAAAAGAAATAATATTTTTAGGTAATAATAATGAACATTTATTAATATAATGACAATCATTAAATACAATAGAAGTTAATGTAGTACATGTAGTAATATCAATTGTTTTTATATCTTCATTATCACATATTCCATTAATATTCATTTTAATTGGACAATTTAATAAACTAAATTCTTTAATAAATTCTTTTTTTATTATTAATGAACTAGATATCCAATAAATATTTTCATTATCTGGCATTAATTTTACTTTATCATTTAATACACTATCAATTAATTCATTTTTTGTTACAAAGATATGAGCAAATGGTTGATTTTGAATAAATCCTTGACATTCACCTTCTGTTATTTTATCAAATCTAATATATATTTCTTGATTAATTAAATCACAATCACTTAATATTTTTCCTAATATTAATGAATATCTTCCATTACATTTAAAATATATTTCTTTTAATTTATTATTCTTTTTAATTTTTAAAAGACATTCTTTTATTAATTCTTCAAATATTGATACATCATTATTATTAAAATCAATTCTTAATCGTTTTAATGATATAAGTCCTTCAAAATCAATTATAATTTCTGGATAAAGAATAATTGTTAAATCAATAACTTTATGTTTAATTGATTGAAAAATATTATGATTAACATTTGAAAAATCATTAATTATCATTAATGATTCATATTTTAATAATTTATTTGCCATAATTGTTTCTATTGTTTCTAATTGTCCTTTAAAATGTTTTAAATTTCTAAATACTAATAAATCTTTTCTTGCTGTAATAATTCTTTTTTTCATTCCAATTGTTTTATTTATTTTTTTTTCACTATAATATGGATTTGTTGAAACATGTCTAATAGCTGAATAAATATGTTTACTAACATATCTCATATTAATAACTGTATTAATACTATCGGAATACATTATTACTGCAATTATTTCTTCTAATCCTAATCCTCCTTTTCTTTTAATTTTTTCATCTTTTTCTTTTTCTTTATCACTTTTTTCAAATGGAATAAATAACATTTCTTTCTTTTTATTTTCTTTTGGACTTTCTTTTTCTTTATATTCAATTATTTTATTTTCTTTCCTTTCTTCTTTTAAATATTTACTCCCTTCACTATTTCTTCGTTGTTTTTTTTCATTTTCTTCTTCTTTTTGAATTGTACTTCCTGTTGATTTTCTTTTATCATTATTTTTATTACTTTTTAACACCTCCATAATTGATTCCTATATTGTATTAATGAAATGTCTTCTTTTTAAAAAAGAAGGAAAATAAACCAAACCATTAAAGAATGAGTAAATCTTTTTAGTTACCTCCCAAAAAAAAACTATAAAAACGAATTGTTGAAATTCTTTATTATTTTAATGTTTTATTTTATTTTCATGTTTTTATTTAATAAATATTTAATCCTAAAAATTAACTTCAATGAAATTTAAAAAAAATTTGTAGTTTATAAATCAGTTTTCTCTCCTTTTGAAATCATATCAATTCCATTTCCACTTACTAATATTAATTTATGTTGTGTTTGATAATTTTCTTTATTATCTTTTATTTCATATTCAATACAATCTTGGAGAATAATATCTATTTCTTTTAATATATTTTATTATTATAGTATTATTTTTTTTTTAACAAACTTGTATATTCATCAATTCCTTTCATTATCCCAACAAATTCACGTTGACTTTTTAATATTATCCATACTTTTGTATTAATCCATTCAAGTAATATTTGTGTAGGAAGTTGTTTATCCATACAACTAATCCAATTTAAATTATTAGTTTCATCTAATATTTCTTTAATGCAATCTCCTCCTCAACTCCCTTCATCTCCTCATCATCCTCATGATTTGTATTGTGAAAATACAAATTATCATACAAATTCTTCTCGTCAAATAATAAGTCAACGACAACAAGATGAGTCATTAATTGCAACATATCAACAATATTATTATCCTAATTCAAAAATTGAAAATCCTCCTCTATATGCATACCCTGATCCTAAAGTTTTTAATATAAAAGAAACTATTTCTGTTTTACCTCAACAACCTATAGAATCTCCAATTCAACCTTCTATTTCTGATAAAGTATTATCACCAAATGGTAGACAAATAAAACATCCAATTAAACGATTTGGTGGTAGTGATTTTTGGGAAAAAATGTCATTAGAATCAGAAAATTATAATTTTAAAGAAAGACCATTTCCACCTGCTCGAATTAGAAAACTTACAAAAATCAATATTGATAATAAACAATTAAAAACAGAAACAGTAGAAATACTTTCTCGTGCATGTGAATTATTTATTAAAGATTTAACAACACGTGCAGGATATATTACTTCATACTCAAAAAGAAAAGTAATTAAAAAAGATGATATTGTTAAAGCAATTGTTAGTGATGAAAAGTTTGATTTGCTTATTGATTTCTTACCACATAATTGATTATTTGTAACAATTTATAATAATATTCTTTATAATTTAAACAATAAATTAATTGATCATTTTTAAAACATCTCTTGAACTAATGTTGTTGTTGAACATAAAACCACTTCTTCTTTATTATCAAAAAACATATTGTGAATTTGTGTACCAATAGAAATAATTTCATCAGAATATAAAAATGGTTCATTATTTTTCTCAACTGATTCAATCATTTCATATATATCTATGGTTTTTGTTTGAAAAGAATATCCAAACAATCCAATTACATCTATAATATAGTTATTACTAGTATTGATAATTTGGTATGACGTTGGTTCTTTTGGAAATTTAGATTTTAAATATTCCTTAAAATCAACAACATCTCCTTCAATTTCAATTGTTGATATATAAGGAATTGCAGCATCCACTTCTTTTGGGTGTAATATTGAAAATGTAATAGTTGCATATTGTGCTAATAATCCTATTAGGAAAAATGTTTCAATTGATGCATCTCCAGCATATTGTATTTTACTTTTTTTCATAAGGTGTGGTGTTTGACTTGATTCAGACTCAGAATCATCAGGTACCACAACCGCAGTAAACATCTCCAAAATATTTCAAAGAACTTTTTTTCATTAAAATAAAAAATTATTAATTGATATTTATCTTTCTTGTATTTAAAATTATTTAAACAAAAAAAAAATATCTGTCTATCTTTTTAAAGTGAAAGAAAAAAAAAAAATAGAATATTACTCTTGACCCATTTCTTGTTCTTCTTCTTTTTCAATACCAGTAGTATGTTTAGAAACTACTAATATTCTTAACATAGACTTATCTACTAATACACCTGCACTTCTTTTTGATTCAGAATCCATACAATGTGATTTTAAGAATAACATATGACCACTCTCTGATAAAAGAATATTATCTTTTTCATTTCCTTTTCCTCTAATAATATAATCACACTTAGTATTTTCTAGAACATCTGTATCTAACAACCATCCATTTTCTTTAGATTCTTTTTCTGAACCACCTATAGGAATAGTTTT